AGGGACTGTGGGTGCTTCCTCCAAATGCACATGAATCATGCACTTCTCACCACCTCTCCTGCCAGGGCTGAGCCCCCCCTCCCCCCCAGGACTTCCCAGCCTCCACCTGCCCCCTTAATCCTCCTCCATTCAGCTGCCAGTGGGCTCTTTCAAAGCCGTACACAGGACTGTGGTGTCACCGCTCCTCACTGAACATCCACAGAGGCCTCCCAGTGCATGTAAATAAAGATCACGCCCCTCACCACCGCCTGCCCAGGAGGCTCCAGGCCAGCGGTTCTCAACCTGTGGGTCGCGACCCCTTTGGGGGTCGAACAACCCTTTCACAGAGGTCACCTAAGACCATCGGAAAACACATATATAATTACATATTTTTTTGTGATTAATCACTATGCTTTAATTATGTTCAATTTGTAACAATGAAAATACATCCTGCATATCAGATATTTACATTACGATTCATAACAGTAGCAAAATTACAGTTATGAAGTAGCAACAAAAATAATTTTATGGTTGGGGGTCACCACAACATGAGGAACTGTATTAAAGGGTCGCGGCATTAGGAAGTTTGAGAACCACTGCTCCAGGCCCCCTCATGACTCTAGCTTCGTCCCCCACTGCTCTCCTCCCACCCACTGCGCCACCCGGACCAACACAAGCCAGTTCTCACTTCAGGGCCTTTGCCTGAATGCTCTTCCCCCACATCTTCCAATAGCCACTCTTTCATCCTTCATTCTTCAGCTAAAATTCATCTCCTCTGAGAAGCCCTCCCTGGCCTCCTGGCTTTGGTGCCCCCTCCCTCCTGTCTCCACTCACTCCCATCCGAGCCTGCAGCACAGTCTGTATTTCTGCATCAATAGCTGTGTTCTCTGGTTTATCGACCACCTCTCACCCTAACTGAATTTCATCCAAGGCAGGAGCTGTGTGTATTTCCTCAACCAGTGTGCACCCACGAGACAGTAAATGTTTCATCAATTCCCAAGGCCTCAACCAGACCTCCAGACCTGGGCTCTGTGTCTTGGGGATGTTTCTCACCCTCTCTGGGCCTTGAGTTTCCAGTGCCTGGCAGGTAGAGGGGTCTGCAGGTGATGGACTCCTCCTCCTCACCCTGGCTCAAGGAGCAGGGGGGATGGGACGCTGCCCAGACTGGCCTTTCCCCTGCGGGATACATCCCAGGCATGTTTTCTCTTGTTGACACAGATAGCGATCCACAAGTGTTTGCAGAGTTGAATGTAGTCACATAGCCCTGCCCCAGGGTCCTAGAAACACAGACGCCAGCACCTCCAGGAATGAGAAGGCTGCAAGGGAGCCAGTTCAAGGCCCAGGGAGCGAATTTAACAATTGGATGATTAAATATGTTTAATTATTGGGAGGTAGCTGTGGTCAGAAGTCAAGCACAGATCACAAGCGGCAAGAGGCCTGGTTCAAATTCAGGTTGTGAGGAGTTTCCCTGCCAGCTCTGGGCCTCTCCCAGATCAGGCCTCGAGATGTGAGAGGTCTCATCCAGGGACTGCAGGCCCTGGTGGCTGAGGCCTGGGCAACATGGAGGCTGGGCTCCTTCCTGGCTCCTCTGCGGATCTCTACCCCACTGAGCACTTACCTGAGCTGGAGAGTAGTGGGGGGAGGTATGGGGAGAAGGTGAGGCCAGATTCAGGGCGTGACCGGGGGCAGGATGGCTGGCTCAGTTCCTGGTCTGGCAGCCTGAGCTCATGTGCTAGCCTCAGGCAGGGGCTGGGAGAGGCTTGGCACTATTTCAAGGAACTTGGGGAATCCGGGCCTGAGATTCCTGCCCCAACAAGCATGGGGCCTGTTCAGTGTCAAGCCCTAGTCAGGGTAGGGTTGGGGCACAAGAATGACCTGAGCCCAAACTCTACCCACAGGAGCTCCTGGCCTGTGGGGTGGGGTGGGGGGGGGGTGGTGGGAATGAATGGGTTACAATGAGCATTTCTTCTGAGAAGTGCAAATGGGGTCCTTGAAGCTTTGGCCCTGGCTGGAGGATCAAGGGAGAGACCAAAGCATGAGCAGGATTAACCTGGGAGCAGAGGCAGGGAGAAGGACTAGAGGTGAGACCCTAGCTCGGGTGGGGAGTGAGCAACAGGTAAGCTCTGGGGGAAGATGCACATGGGACTGGAGAGGTCAGCAGAGCCTCCTAAGCATGGGCTTTGGCCTGAGGCCACAGGGGAGCCCTTGAAGGACCAGAAATGTGTTTTGGAAAGAAGGACATGAAGGCTGTTATAGAACCAATCAGGGATGGAAAACCAGAGGCCAAGAGGTCACCAGGACACCAGGATGGGGTCTAGATGAGGGTGGGGGAAGGGACAACAGGAATGGGTGGTTGGGCTGGTAGAGGCAGTAGGTCTTGGGAGTGGGGCTGGGGTGGGGTGGGGGGTGGGGAGGCTGGGGATGCCCACTCTTTGGCTGAAGTGCCTGAGAGGATGGAACAGCCATTTCCAAGCTGGGAACCTAGGAGAGGGGCCAGTTTCAGGGGACAGAGGTTGTGTTCTGCTTAGGATAAGCAGAGTACTCTGGGTACCAGGGTGGAGGTTGGGGGGCTAGTCTGGAGGATGGGGGATAGATGGGTCCAGAGCTCTGGAGAGAGGCCAGGGCCAGGGGTGGCGATGAAGCTGGGTGGTGGCCCTTTCTCAGGCCTTTCCCTCAGGCTTTCTTTCGGAGTCAGGGAGCAGGCTTGGTTAGAGGGAATTAATAGCCCTGGGGGCATCCTGGAGCCCAAGAAGGACAGGAGTGGGGGACACAGGTTTCAGCCCCCCTCCTCTGGGAGGCATGCTGAGACTTATTTGAGTTCTCAGAGGAATAGAGTTCAGGTTGCCCACAGGTAACCTGGATGACACTCCTTATGTTGGCTTCTCTCCTTCCCTAGTCCTTCCTGTTCCCTCACCGAGGTATGGAATCACTTCCCAAATGAGTACTTGTTTCGGGCTCTGCTTCAGGAGAACCCAACTTAGAGAAAGTCTAGTTGAAGCCGTGAGACTGTGGGCTCCTCCTGGGCGAGCACTGGCTGTGTCCTCAGGCCCTCACCCCTGCTCAAGCCGAGGAGTGCCCCCTGCTCATTACCTGCTTTGCCCACCCTGGGAGGCTTTGTGGATGTAAGTAGGGTGAGCCAAGGCTGAGGGCAAGGGGAGGAGGGTCCCAGGACATCATGGGAGAGAACTGGGCACCCCCCCCCCAGGAGTCTCTCTCTTTCTTATCAAATGGAGCCAGAAACAAAATAAACAATAGGACCCCAGGCAGACGCACCTTGAGGGGCCAGCCCAGAGCGGGTGGGTAGAGGTCAAGTGCATGACCAGCTCATCCCTGCGCACTGTGCCCCCCAGGAGCCTTGAGCTGTGGAATGGGGAACAAAGACCCACTGTGATCAGAGTCACAAGTAGTCTGTATTGCTTTCTATTGCCCGAGTAACA